ACATGTCAAAAAAAATTCTGTCTATCCCAAAGTTTGGAATGAGGACAATCTGGAGGAAGCAGGCAGCTATATTAAGAGAAAACGGAAGCTACGCCATGAAACCTACATAGGGGACACATTTGGTTAATTGTGTGGAATCATTTTCTCATGGCCTTATGGAACCATACGATGAAGGAGTCCAGTTATATCTCCAGTAACTCAAAGGCCCTGGTTTTTCCCCACTGCCTACTACACACGATGAGTTTAACAGCACACACCTGTCTTTCTTATCTTTGGGGACGACTGCCACCTGGACGTTGTCGCCCCCCCTGCCCATGTTCTCTCCTGCGGCATCCTTGCAAAGCAGGGTAAATGAGGCTGGCTGTTTCTCTCGAGCTCTGTGGAGATCTGCAGAAGACAAAGAGCACTCATGTCACAGGCAAACAGAGATGTCAATGCCCCCCAGTCAGACCAACAAAGCTTGTGCTTCCCAGTTATTTGAACTACCCTCTCGCCTTCTAGGCCATACTGCTTGGGCACCCTTCCCAGAGGTCTGGGTAAGTGGTTCCGCAGCAGCTGCTCTTGGGTCACATGGGGTTCTGCATCTTAAATTCAGCCCTAAGGAAACTGCAAATACTCAGGATTAATCTAGGTATCCAAAGAGAGCCTTTAGACCTGTAGACTAGTATCCTCAAAACTACCTCCTGCAAGCCCTGGATCCTACTAGAATAGGAAGCTGATAGTGCAGTTCAGCTTGCTGCATCCCTGTTCTGAAAGGCCCTGCAACTCAGAAGCTATTGCCAAGGTGTTGAGGACTATCCACTGGCTACAGCCTGAAGGGCAGCATGCTGAGGAAACCAGGTTTCTCAGCCCCAGCTTGTGAACTATGAGAGGCCTATGAAGGAAGCTTCTGAAACTGTATGCCCTTGGTGGGTATTTCTGGGAAAGATCATTCTCAGAGGGATCTGTGACTTCCAAAGACTTAGAAATTCCTTGCAGAAGTTAAAATGAAGGCAACTCTTGCATACAAGATTATCTGTGAAATATGTCTGAATAACATGTTTAACTTAGCAACAGAACACTGGTATAAAGGAACCATTTATAGCTGGGCCTGGTGATGCACCCCTTTAAACCCAGCACTCAGAGGCAGGTGGATTTCTGTGAGTTTAAGACCAGCCTGTTCCACATAGTTCCAGGTGAGCCAGAGCTACCCAGTGAGGCCCTGTCTCAAACAAACAAACAAACAAACAAACAAAAGACCTCAACCTACAAATCCTTTGAAATACCAACGATAGAAAGTTTGTGTGACCCAAAATGGCAGGGAAGAAAGGAAGCCGTCACTTTTGTCTTCCTCCTTGTTCTGTAGCCCTCATCATAGCTACCCAAGCACTAGGAGTTGCCATGTGTGTCTTGGCAGATTTTGCTTTGTCCTACTCAGTGCTGTTATCTCCTGTGAGGGTGGCCAGGCTCCATCACACCAAAGGATGGTGCTTAAAATCCTTGGGAGCTTCTGCTCTTCTGAGATGGAACTGGCTCAAGCCTCCCTGCCCAGACCAAAGGAGAATGAAGAGCAAGGCAAGGAGCCGCTCCTTTCAGGTCATCGCGCCTCTCCCCTTGGCCTGTAGAGTAGTCCTAGCTGAACAAGTCTCATTACCTTTTTCTCTTTGACACAAAGTCTCGTATTGCTCCGTAGGCCTCACACTTGCTATGCACCCAAAGAAGTCCTCAGACTCCTTACCCTCCTGCCTCCACCTGCTGAGTGCCGGGATTACAGGCATGTGTAGCCATGTTCAGTTTTATGTGGTGCTGGCGATCAAACCCAACTTTGTGCAAGGTAGGCAAGCATTCTGCCGACTGAGCTATACTCTCAGACAGCAAGCCACCGTTCACAAGCCTCTAAACATATCCCCATGCACGGTCCTCTCAGTGCCTGTGGGGAATACTTCCCTACCTTCTCCCTGAAGGACACATTTAGCTGGATCAACTTCTTTGGTGTTAATGGTCCCATACACTTCATAGCCCCGGCACTGGCCCGCCTTCTCCTGTGGAGAGAAGCAGATCTTATCGTTCACTCCCGGGCGGGCGATGTATTCAACTTTGTTCAGCTTCCGGAGCCGGTCTACCACCACTCCCTTGGTAATGAGGATTTCTAAGTCCGAGCCACTGGTCAACAGGTGCTCAGTGAACTCCACTCCAGTCCGCATATCTGCCAGCAGCTGTTCCAGCTGTGCTTTCTGCAGCTGCAAAGAGTTTTCCTTCTGGACCCGGATGTCATCCAGTTGCTTTAGCAGCTTGTCCCGGTGCTCCTCAATCGCTTTGATATAGCCCTCAGAGAATGCTCGGACATCAGCGGCCACTGCCTCCACCCGTTCCTGGAGGCCACTGTTCATGGCTTTGATCTGAGCCAGGGCTTCCTCCAGGGCCTCCACGTGGGGCTGGGTGCCTCTGAGGAGCTCCCGCACGGAGTCTCCATGCTTGTGGATGACATTGCTGGTGAAGTCGTAGGGGTGCTCTCGGTGCTCCCCAACTACACAGTCCCGACACACCGGCCGGTCACAGAGTTCACAGAACAGCCTCAGCTCCTCCGCAGGGTGAGCAGGACACAGGATGGGCTTTCCAACCCGGCTGTAGCCTTTCAGGTCTTTCAGGTCTACCATGGTATGATACATCGTCTTCTTCTGCCGCCTGCGAAGAAGCAGGAAGTGAGGAATGGCTCTGGAGGGAGACAGCTTGGCAAAGAGGTTCTAGGAGTTAAATAGATTGGGGTCACATCTCTCAGAACTCCTAATATCAAGCAGGATCCTCTTTGCTTGATTAGTTTCCACACTGTGAGACCCAGGCCTACCTGGGGGCTGTTGTTTGGAACACACTGCACATGTACTTGGATTTGGCTTGGGATACAACTTCGAAGGTGCAATACTGAGACTACGTGCTGGGAAACTCTCACTCAAGAGTTAATTTGGTAAGTTTAAGCAAGAGGCACCGCCCACTTCCTAAAGCATGGTGGACGACTAGCACCGAATGATACTGCCATGCCAGATGGATCTACGTAGCAGTGGAAGCAGCCAGCCGGCTCTGACACTCTCGTCTTACATTTAAGTAACATTTTAGTAAAGCCATTCCTTTGACCAGCACCTACATCATGTACATCCGCAGGCCAGAATTTTCCTCAAGTCATGAGCATTAGTAGAAAGTGAAATCAGTGGGCACTAAAATCAAAGCTCTCTTGAATTCCTCTTCCCTACAGCCTCTTAGGGGACTCAGGGAAATCCCTAGGAAAATGCAGTGACTGTTTGTAGAGTTCCCTGGTAACAGTCCCATCAACCTCAAGTGTATATGCCAATTCTGGTACAAGTGTGGCTGCAGAGAAAAACGGGTCAGCTGTCGCGCTGGCAATGAGACAGTCATAGAGATGATCACACAAGTTAAAAATAGGGAGCAATGACAACTGTTCTGTTGGTAAGGCCAGAAAACAAAACTGTTCTAGGTTCATCTGAAAACCTTATCTAGTTGTTTTGTTTTCTATTCTGATGCACTAGAGTGGATTGGGGGGGGCAAAGAGTAAATGATCTAACAAACTTCATTGAGTATGATAAAAGACAAAACACCCCAATTAGCATCTACCAGCCTGCTTCTCCAGGTACCTCTATGGGGAAAGGCACAGCCACTCCATCAATACCTATGCCGAGAAGGTGGCATGCACCAAAAAGGCAGGTTTGAATTAAGGACTCAGTTCCTTTCACACTTACCCAGCTATGGGAACTTGGTAAATCACACGACAGTGCTGAGTTTCCATTTTAACGAATGGGGTGAAATAAGCGCCTGTCTCTCTGTAGGAGTTACAGTGGTCGGATGAAATCAAGGACAGGGTCTATGCTAGCACAATAATCCTGTCTCCGGCACCTGGTGCAACAATTGGTAACGGAAAGAAAACCCAGTGTGCTCTGTTGCAAACTGAAACCTATGATGATTTTATTACTACAGGTATCAGGCCAGCTGCGATAACTTCCATGTGCCTGAGTGGTGTGTTGTTCCCTGCTGTTTGTGTCTGAGAAAGCCTTCCTTCTGACCTGCCCGCCAGGGATTTGTGTCTCGGTATCTTTGCGGTCTACTCTTAAGCCACAGCAGGTGGGGTACCCCCTCTTTACCTATGAGCCTGGCAGCAGAAGTGGCAGAGATTGGCTTTGCAGGTCTGACACCTCTTCTCTACTTCTCTGTCGCTGCACAGGTCACACACCAGGCCCTGGCCTTCCCCACGCAGACTCTCCAGCATCACATCATTCATAGCCAGGTGGTCTATCGTTAAAGCCTTCACTCCACCCAAGGGCAGGTCCACCTGAGCGTCACATACCGGACACAGGATGCCAATCTGTGGCTGCAAGCTGCGTGACTTGGGTTCCTGGAATATTGACCCCTCAGAGCTTGTGTCTGAGTCACCCCCACGGATGTCCACTACTGAGAACGGTTCCAGCTTTTCCAGACATGTGGTGCACACGGTGTGCAAGCAAGGTAAGAGCCTGGGGGCTTTGAAAAGCCCCAGACACGAAGGGCAGTGAGTCTTGCCTGAGTTCCCAGATGCGTTCGCATCGGGGACTTTGTGCACGAAACCCAGAAGCGGCTTCCTGTTTTCTGACATCTTCCCCAGTATCAGAAAGGGCCTTGGGTAGTCCTATAATGCAGGTTAAATTCACCCAAAGACAGAGTTCCCAGAATTTGAACAGAAACCATGAGGGCTCTCGAGTTGCCAAATAAAATGGCAACCGGAAAGAGGGTGCCTCTGAGGAACCATCCACAGATCTACTCCGGATTTGTGGCTGGGCCCTTCCTTTCCACTGCATCCCATACCAGGCACGTCCACGCCCTCCTCGATCACCCAAGTCGTCCTCGCAAAGCGCTTCTAGATCTAGTCCCTAGCTAGCCCTGCCACCACCACCCTGGCCCCTGCATTTCGTGTCCTCCACGGCCACCCCCTCCCGCCCCACTGGTCCCGCCCCAACCACGCGACAAGCGCGCCTCGCCCCGGGCGATGAGGTAGAGGGTCCTCCGGCTCTCCCAGGGTGCGGCGCCAGGTACTGCTGCCACCCTAGGCTGCTAAGAAGGCCCTAGAGCCGTCGCCCCGCCTCGCACCAATCCCAGCCCAGGTAGGCTCCGAAGAGTCCAATCACCGTCCGAGAGGGGTGGGCCTCGCCGCTCGGATCCGCGCCGCCCTCCAGAGGGACATCGCTGCCATCCAATAAGCTCAGTAAGTTCCACATCCTCGCCTGGCCATTCGCGCGGCCGGACGAGAGGGGGATGGCAGCAGGCAGGGCCGGGAGGAGGAGTCAGGGAGTGAGCGGCGTAGTGTGGTCGGCGTCACCGTTTCACAAAGATGAGCTCTGGCCGCCTGAGAGGCCTCAGGACCTTTGAAAACGCCTCGCTGAGAGCCGCAGGATGGGATCCGCCCCAAACTGATAGGGGTCTCCCATTGGTGCGTGGTACTGTCAGTCGCCCGAGGTGTAGCCCAAAGCATGCTGGAACTTGTAGGCGACTTCTTGTCCGGAGAGGCCTCTGCGAAGCAGGAAAAATCCTGCCAGGTCTCTTTCTCGGTCTTCTAAGCATTTTCTGTCCTGGAATTCCTCGGGTCTAGCATGCTGGGTACCAGAACCCCCGCACCTGGCTAGTTTCTGGCACTTTCCAGGGTAAGGGTACCTCCGGCTCTGGTTCTAGGAGCCTAACCGAAAAGTTTAGAACGGCTGCCCCATGGAACTCATATGAGTTTCTGGGGTGCTTGCTGCTTTTAATTCACTTGCTCAAGGCAGGAGGGAACACGACCTAAGAGTTTAGATACTTCTCACCCAGAATTCTATAGTATCGGAAGAGGGTGTGGGACGGCGTCAGACAGAGCAAGTTTGGTAGCCGCTTTTACAATCAAAGGGGTGCCCCTGACTGGTCACAATGGGACAGTGGAGGATGTCAGGGAGGGACAAGTCCTTTGTAGGCCGACAACTAGTTAGGAAGATGGGCACGCATGGTACCCTGAGCATTGTTATTTCTTTGCTCCTTGAAGAATTTTGCTCGGAGTTTCAGATTCATTCATATGGAAGCTGTTTCCTAAACGGGGGTCTGAGACCTTGATCTCTGAATTCCAAAAATGGTAATAACATGTCTCCTTGGCTACTGCTGTTCTCACTCTCCAGTAGCTTAGCCTCTGTCTGTCTCACTGTTTTCCTTGTTTACAGCCTTCCTTATTTGATTTAGATCTATGGACAGCAATTTCAGGGACCTCTTTATTAGAGATGTCATACTGTATTCATACAGTCGGAACCTATGCTTTAATGAAGGCCCCAAACTATGGAAATATGAACTTAAAAAAAAAAGAATCATCTGGCTCTTTCTAAAATATGTTGGGTTGAAGATGTAGCTTATTGATGAGTCTTTACTTCGTATATGTGAGTTTCTATATTCTATCTCTAGCACATGTATGTAAACACACACACACACCCCAAAACAGTCTCCCAAAACAGTCTGGCTTGGTCTTTATTGAGAGAGTCTTGAGCTCTGGTTCTAACTTTACAATAAGTAAAATACCTGCAAATGACTCAAAAGCCACCTTTTTTTTTTTTTTTTTTTTTTTTTTCCGAGACAGGGTTTTTCTGTGTAACAGTCCTTGCTGTCCTGGAACCTGCTTTGTAGACTAGGCTGGCCTTGAACTCACAGAGATTGGCCTGCCTCTGCCTCCCTAGTGCTGGGATTAAAGGTGTGCGCCACCACTGACCGGCTCAAAAGCCACTTTTATATAAAAGTCATGTGACTTCCCAAAGTAAGATGCCTTCAAAGGTCTTAGAAATGAAAGCGGGCCTTACCTAGACTTCCTAGCCTTTTGTTCTCTGCACTGCCCTGACTGAATCCTATATGCTGAAGCAAATCACAAAAACTCTGTGGACTTGGCTTTGCTATGTATTCTTGCTCTGAACTTTACTCTCCTTGATGCTGAGCTATACTTCGCTTCATGTCTTATTCATGCCGTATTACATTTCCCATAGTGAGTATTCTAACTTCTCTGAGAACTGCTTTATAATTTATATGCATTATCTCATTTAATCTTCTAAGAGCTTTTGAGAGAACAGCCTGGAAGAGGTCTTATGGTCAACCTGAGCTAACACCCGGGGCAGAAACACAGCCTTATGATGTCATGTCTAAGATACTGCTGCGGTCACCTCTACCCTTCCTTCGTATGCACACTGGGCGCCCACCTACCTTCTATGGAGGGAGAAAATGTGGCTATCTGGAGAACGTCTTCACTTCCTGATTATAAGCCTATGCATCTCCTCCTCCTTTCTCATGATGCTGCTGTTTTTATCCCAACCTCATCCGCCTTCTCCGTATTCGCTGACGCCTTTCAGTCGGTCCTCTCCACTTTCTTTCTGCTGAAGACTCTGCTTGGGCCCTAAAGGAAAACCGGTCCTCCCTTGGTCTAGTTGCCCTCAACCTAATTAACTTTGGTGGCTCTCACCACTGTGTTTCTTAAAGGGTGACCTTGGGTCTGTCTTCTGATAACCAGCAATGTATTCTCTCTCTTTGGTGTGTAGATCGTGAGTAATAATATTGCTGGACTTCTCCTGGTCCTCAAGCCATGTTGTGTAGTTGGGCTGCTCTTATACACTCCCCCCACCCTTCCATTTTGTTCTGTATCTTTCCTATCTGTATTCTCTCTTAAAGAGTTGAGTCCCAGACCTATAATTCCAGTACTGACTGACCTCTCCCCCAGGTTTTTGTCCTAAGTGTTGATTTATAACTCCACTCCAAAATCAGTCCCCATCCCTTAACTCCCACCTTAAATGTCTCTGGGCTTCTCTATTCATTAGATTCTGCACTCAGAATCTTCCCATGTCATTCTCCTAGCTCACTCTCCCAGCCTGAAATCTTATAGTCCTCTCGGCCTCCTTTCTCATTTTCCAGATCCAGGCAGGCATCAGTTTCTTTCCATTCCCCTTGCCAACACCTTACTGCATAGCGTTTTTAAGACTGTACAAGGCTGTAGCACTCTCACTTCAAGTTGCCACTTTAGCTTCTGAATCCTTCTTGACCTCCTCTTATAAAATAACTAATTTGACCTCCAAGGTTAATTGTAAAGCCATGTTAAGCCATGTTGACTGTACAGAAGGCCAGGGAGGCAGATGGCTTCATAGGAAATCAGGAAGGTCAGGAAGGGAAGATGACCCATCTGGAGATCAGGAATGCTGGGTCTGACACTGCTTGGTTTATCCAACAGATATTGAGTGATCATGTAGAAAGGGAAACAGGTTCCGGCAGACTTACCTTTCACCATTACTTCTGTCTCTATCAGTCACTATCCCTTTACCTCCTGATTTCTCCTGGATCTCTATTCTATCCAGCCCTGTCCACTTCCGCCTTCTTCCCCTCCTTCCTGGTGGATCTTTCTATGGGCTCACACTCATGCTTCGGTTTCTCCCTCAGGTCTGTGCTGCCTAGCTAAGAGTCCGGAGAAGAATAGGGTGGCTTGGACAAAGTGTCTCCCATAGGCTCATGTCTGAGCACTCAGTCCTAGTCGGTAGAGTAATTTAGGGACATTTGGCAACTTTTAGTTGGTAGAACTTCACTGGAGAAAATGGCCCACTGTGTCGGGGTGGGGTGGATCGGGGTTGGGAAGGGTGGGGAGGGGCGATTGGGGCTTTTATGGCTGGCCTCCTTCCTCCATGCTCTCTGCTTCTTGATTTGCCCAGATGTGAGCACGCAGCCTCACATCCCTATCAATGCTGACAGCCACTAGGCTGCCATGTTTGCCCACCGGGATGGACTGCGTTTCACACTGTGAGCCAGAGCAAACGCCTCCTCCCGTGTGCTTGCCACCGAGAGAAAAGGAACATGAGAAAGTCTACACTTGTTCCTCAAGTTCTTTTCCTTCACTTGACCCCCTAAGGCTGTGCAGTCTGGCATTTGCTGTCAGCCTTCCTTGGAAACTGCTCTTGTACAAACGACCCTGGCAGCATGCCATGTGCTGCTGTCGAGTAAAAGCCGACTTCCTGAAACGCTCCCTCCCCCTCCCTTGCTCTCTGACCACCCTCTCTCAACCCACAGTTCAGTTTCTTCCGCTTGTCTCTTAAATGTTGCTTGAGTTCTTAGCCCTCATCCACCCCTCCCACCCCGAAGCTCTCCCTTGATTGTTGTGGCGGTGATACTTGGGGTGATGGGTAGAAGAAGCATCAGTCTACTTGTTTCATGTGGACTGTTGGTTCTTTACCGGTACCACCATCCCCTTCATGAGATTCTGAATGCAGAGACTTGGTGGTGAAGGAGCAGTGTGGACTCGTGGCTGGAAGGAGAGTAACTCAGACAAGGGCAGCATCTGCTTACCGAGAGGCACATACCTTGTGTGTTCAGGCAGTAGCAGAAGCCCAGGGTCCCAGGGGCAGCAGGAGCGAATTAGTGGAGGGTTAGGGTAGGGATTTCGGCATGACCTTACCTTGGCAGCCAGCTTCATTTCTTGCACTGCCCTTGCGCTACCCAGAATTTACCTGAGCTTTTAAAGTAACTGTACCAGTCTCCTTGCTCTTGCTAATGTAGCTTGCCCATGCCCTCTCTTCAGACGTCTACTTCTCCAGAAATCTTCCACTCCCCGAGTCTTTGCTATGTGTGTCTCTGTGTGCTACCCGTGTGTGCTGGAGAGATTTTTGTCAGTGTGACACACACTGGGTCATCTGGGAAGAGAGAACCTCAGTTGAGAACATGCCTCCATCAGACTGGCCTGTAGGTGAGTCTGTGAAGCATGATTAGTGATTGATTTGGGAGCTACCCCTGGGCAGGTGGTCCTGGGAGGCATAAAAAATGTCTGAATGTGACCTTGGTGAGAAAGCCAGTAAGCGTCACTCCTCCATGATTCCCACCTCTGCCCCCGCTCCAGTTCCTGCCCTGCCCTCCCGCAGCAATACACTGTGTCAGGACAGGTAAGCCAAGTAAACCGTTTTCTGCTCCAGGTGTGTGTGTGTATGTGTGTGTGTGTGTGTGTGTGTGTGTGTGTGTGTGTGTGTGTGTGTGTGTTATCACAGCAGCAGAAAGCCACATTAGAACACTATGCGCCTCTATTTTCTTTTTTTTCACTGTCTAGCCCTGGCTGACCTGGCATTTGATATGTAGACCAGGCTGGCCTTGAATTCTCAGGAATCTGCTTTCTGGGATTAAGGGTGTGCACTGCCACTACCAGCTACAACACGTTTCCTATATACTCACCTGATGCTGCCTTCC